GTCCAACTCAATGACGGTATTGTACTACGAATCGTAAGTTGCTAGCTGTCGTAACGTTTGCCATGCATTCCCACACTATCTGATCGGCCGGCCATTTCTGGTCTGAACCGATCACGCCTTCCTGACGTGGCTCCTTAACGTTAAGGAGCCGGAAGGCATGGTGGCTCGGTGGATTGCATACTTAAGCACATTCGACAATTCGATTGAACACCGTCCTGGTAAACTGCATGGCAACGCAGACGGCTTATCCCGGCCGCCAGGATGTCGTACGTGCAAGCGGCAGGATTGCCCGGATTGTCGCAGAGTTATACTGGCTCGCGTGAAAGCACAGAAGATGGCTCCAGGGCGTACTCGGCAACAGCCAAAGGCTCGCGTGCCTTGTCATGTGGAGCTCCGAGCTACGCTTTGTCAGTGGACAGATGCGCAGGTTCGGGAGTGGCAACGGGCAGACCCCACAATGAGACGGGTGATGCAACTTCTGCAGAAGTGTGAGGCTCGGCCTCCGTTCTCAGAACTTGCAGCTGAGTCACTGGAAGCCAGACGATATTGTGAGGTGTGGGACCGCCTGGAACTCCAGAGAGGAATGCTGTTCCAGGTGTGGGTTCCAACATACGCCCAGGAGTCTTTCATACTGCAGTTGGTGGCGCCGCCAATCATCCGTCGGGTGTTGTTGAATGCTCTCCACGGTGGTCGCATTGCGGCGCACCTAGGCATTCGAAAGACGTTGTCTCGAATTCGGCAACGATTTACGTGGCGGGTATTCGCACAGACGTCCAACGCTGGTGTCGGCAATGTGATACGTGCGCTCGACGGAAAACCGGGCGACGTATGCAGGCCAAGCTGCAGCAGCAAGCAGTTGGCGCACCTTGGGAGAGGATTGCGGTCGATTTTCACGGACCCCTCCCTGTGACAGAGGCAGGAAATCGGTACATTCTCGTGGCCAGTGATTATTTCACAAAATGGGCAGAGGCGTACGCACTTCCTGATGAAACTGCTCAGACTACGGGTGACTGCCTGGTCTCGCAGTTGTTTACTCGGTTTGGCTGCCCACGTCAGCTCCACTCCGACCAGGGTCGGAATTTTGAGTCCAAGCTCTTTGCCGGAGTATGTATACTCCTGGGCATCGAAAAGACTCGGACAACCCCGTACCATACACAATCCGACAGGCTGGTTGAACGTTTCAACAGAACATTGTTGGACATGTTGGCAAAGGTGGGGTGTGAGCAGAAGAATGACTGGGACCAACATCTTCCTTATGTAATGGCAGCCTACAGAGGTACAGCCCAAGAAAGTATGGGGGTAAGTCCAAACCTCATGTTTGGTCGTGAGGTTAGCTTGCCGGTAGAAATCATGTTTGACCGACTCCCAGGTCCGGAGGCACCGGATTGTCCT